TGTTTACTCTGAGCTTGCCAAGGAGCTGCTTGGGGGAGCTGGGCACAGCGTGTTGCTGAGTCCATCTGACACTTGAGACTAGATGTAACCCTCCTCTTCCCAGCCTTTATTGTCCTGGCTGTGCCAAGATGAATTCAGACTGCAGGACAGGGCTGTAGAAGTGCTTTGGTGTGCAGGGTGCCGGTGCTGTGGAAGGAGCCAGCTAGCCCCAACAGCGCTGTAGGAACCGGCCCCAGGAGCACAGCGTCTGCTGGCTGTTTTTAGGCTGCCCGTGTTATTAATACCCGGCTCTCCGGGGTTGTGCACGCAGCAGAAATGCGGACACCCGATCCTTCCCAAACATAGTTTCCGTAGCAAATGCGCGGACGTGCTGTGTCATGAGTTATGCTGCCATCCTCACTGGGGCATTTGGCTCCGCGGTGGCTTGCTTGGTCAGGCCGGATAGATGCAAAAGCTGCCTGCGTTGGTCAGGAAGCTGCCGGACGGTTGTGAAGGGTTGACAGATTCCCAACAGAGCGGCTGGTTATGGGTCTCAAAAGTCACTGGGGTGGTTCTTAGTGGCTCCTTGGCTGAAAAAAGAGAGGAGAAAGTTAAATGAAACAAGTGATCAAGACCAAGAGATGTGTCGCCAAGTCCTGATCCAGGCTCAGACCTTGATGGGCTAGGAAGCAAGGGTAAAGGGGTCCGTGTGTCCTCTAGCAGCGGGGAGTGGGGCATGCCCTGCTTGTGTAGTAGTTTGGGGATCGTAGTGTAGTTCCCATGGTTGAGATCTGCCCCCCAGGACCTGGCCGGTGCTGGTGTGTGCCTGCCGAGGGGTCCCTGGTGGGCACCGAGTGGGAGAAGAGTGGTTGCACTATGTCACAAGCCATCATCTTTTGGGCCTGCTTGCCCAGAAAGTGCTTCACCCTGCAGACTAAACATGGGCCCCCAGCCTGGCAGCAAACAGCTTGGGGCTGAGGAAACACCCAGCAAATGGGAATCAAACCAGCTTTTGAAGCAGAGTTGTACCTGGTCCTGTCAGACTGGTGTTGGGGTGGCTGCAGGAAAGGTGGGAGGGGGTGGGGAGGCTGCAGGAAGCCCAGGCAGGGCTCGCATCCCCCTCCTCTGCAGCCTCACCAGCAACGAGTGGTGCAGATTGCGGTAGGGGGTGTTAATAGGATTGATTATTTAGCATTTATAATGTGCCAAACGGGTAAGGCTTTGTTGTCAGGTGCTGCAGAAGTCTGGAAAGGCTGTGCCCCTCCCAGCTCATGTTCCAGGAGACGAGACATGGCAGGTGGATGAGACGGGGATACTCTGGCGTATTGCAGTCCTGTGCGCAAGGGGCTGCACAGATGCATCAAAGAGCTGGACCTGAGGTTTCAGTCCAATGCATGTGACCCCGGCTGGCTATTAAAAGTAGAAGGTGCAATCCCAGTGGGCGACGACCGGCGCTTGCTTTGCTAAGAGCGTGCTGGAAGCAGCAGCATGCTGCTGGATCCAGCCGGAGCTGGAGGTTCAAGATGCGTGTACTGCCATGTGGCCTGATGCCCATGATTTCAGATATGTCCCGTGTGATGTGTTTGTTTGGTCCCCCTCACCCTGGCAGAGCGCCCCGAGGCAGCTGTTAACAAATCAGAAGGGAGACACCTGTCAAGGCAAAGCAGGGGAAAGCTCAGTCCCTCTGGCTGAGTAAAGGTCGGGTAGCCTGTTATAAGGTCGCATGGGCTATGCCCTTAGTATTTTGCACAGCAAAAGCTTTCTTGGGCTTGTCAAATCCAAGAGTGGTCAAGAGCAAGCAAGAAGGGGAAATGCTAGAGCCGTGGAGCGAGGGAGGCCTGCGGTATGCTAAAGACATTCGCTCTCGTTGGGGTGCGGTGCACAGTGCCGCTAGACCAAAAATTACAAGGGAGGGATGTGGTGATGCCGTACAGAGGAGCAACGCCCAACAGCCTGCAGGTTCCTTGCTATCTAGCGTGATCGGGATTTCCATTACCAGCTACTGCCCTCGCTGTCACTGCAGCAACTGCTGTCAGTAGACCCCAACCCTGGCGGCATATGATGGGTATAAATCTTTGTAACCCTACCCAGGCCAGGTGTTTGGGGCCGGAAACAAAGCTCTGGTCTTTTATCAGCATTTCTAGGGTGTCGAGCAGAGCGCCTCTTCTCGCTGCCGTCTCCTTTAACTGTTGACAGCGGGGTGGGAAGGGAGGAAATCCACAAACCAGAAGTGTCCCATCTGTCCAGGTGGTTGTTGCTAAACCTCTTCTGGCCTCACACAGAGAGAGTTTGATACGTTTGTCCAGCTCAGGGAGACCAGGGCCCACAACGGTGGCAAGTGGATGAGACGGGAATACTCTGGTGTATTCCAGTCCTGTGCAAGGGGCTGCACAGACGCGTCAAAGAGATGGACCTGAGGTTTCAGTCCAACGCATGTGACCTAGGCTGGCGATTAAAAGTAGAAAGTAGTCTTTGGTCTTATTTATCAGTCCCGAAAGCAGTTGGCAGATGCCTGGGCCTTTTCCTTCTGCAGCTCCGAGAACGCTTCATCTTCCCCCCCCTTCTTTTCTTTTAAGCGGTTCTGCATGACGGATGCTTTTCCAGGAAAAGGACAAGCTTTTCTTACGATTCTACAACGAAGAAAGATGGTGGGATCAGTTCACCCTGCTTACAGCCACATCGGCGAGGCCCTGGCTTCAGGCTCCCTGGGCCAGGCAGAGTTCAGAGGGCTGCATCCCTTGAGGCCTGAGGATGGGAAGGAACGAGGTCTCCCAGAGCTGCAGGATATCTTCGTAGAGGGAATCAGCGGAGGGGGTTTCCTGCTAACCATACTGCCCAGATAAGGCAGCAATAAAAGGAGACATCTCGGTTCCCCGAGATGCCCAGAAGCAGCTTGAACTACGCGCCGTGCGTCACTGGAGCCTGAACATCCCACCAGCGCCGGGGGGTTGGAGGGACCCGCAGGGGAGGCATTGCACCCTGCATGCCTTGCAGAATATCTTTGTCCTTTCCTCGTTGAGCTATAGATGAAGGGGGTCAGAGGGGTCAAACGCTCCACAATCCTGTCTGATCAGAAGAGCACTAGGAGTATTTTAGTCATGATCCTAGGAAGCCAGAGGACATTGAATGCAGCTATGGTTTGTAGCTTTCTTTACAGGACAAAGGAAATACTGTGGATATTGGCTCTTGTGTACGACTGCCTGTCCTCTCCATACTGCTGGGTCCTCACATAGCACTGGGGCATCCAACAGCATCGAGGAGAAAAGGGAAGGCTTCATCTCCTGGAATGAAGTCACACTTCTTTCCCGCCCGGTGTCAGGAACATGCAGTGCATTTCCCATACTTGTCTCTTGAACATGAGCTATCAAGTGGCCTGGCTGTGCATCTTTCTTGTGGTTTCCTGATGTGCCTTGGGGGTGCGGGCAGAGTTGTGTGCTGTGCCTTGACAGCCAGAGTCCCAGCACCCTCCCATAGGTTGGGTCTCAGCACTGTCGGAGTCTTCCTCAGCATCTGGGAACATGGTTTTGCTGCAGACACGCTCCTCCGGCTCTTGTGTCCGGGAGTCACTAGCAGGCAGCTTTACGACAGCCTTTCACGGCTCCTGCGGGGAGGGAATCGTCAGTACGGGATTCAAAACAGGTGACTTTGAAAGACCGCTTTCAAGTGGCCAGACTATGCATTGCTCACGTTGCTTTCTGATGACAGAGCCCTCGCTGCATTCCCTAAACGCCTCCATTCGCTGCAGCAGAAATTTGCATTTGGGGAAGAGCATCCTCATCCTTTGCAAAAGGGTCTTTCATCCATTTCCTAAGCCTCTCATTCAGCACTCAGCATTTTTTCCCCTTGTTGGGAGCTTGCTGCCTTCGTAACCTGGATGTGTCACGTTCCAGTTTGTTCAGTATCAGGGTAGGGGTAAAAAAGGAAATGCTCTTCAAAGGTGCAAAGGTAAAAGGAATCTGTAGAGCGTGGATACGATGCATGTTAGAAGGAACTGGTGAGGGTTTGGATGGTGGAAAAAGAGAGAAAAATAAAGATAAGCAATGATTCAAAACAGCAAGAGCAGGAAGAAATAAATCCCAGAGGGTGTAAGTGGAAAGTTAGCAGAGAAGAGGAAATGAGGCTAAGGGCTGGGTTAGTGTGAATTCAAATGCCACAAAGACAAACACCTCTCCCTTTATTTTGACCCATAGATGACGCCTCTCTGGGCCCCAGGAGGACAGCTCGGGAAAACACAAGCACCTAGAACCGAAACACAAATACCAGAACTCGTGCACAGCCTTGATTAGCAGAATATGCAGCCGTTCACCTCCATGTCGCTGGGTCAAACCAGCTTGGCAGAGCTGGAGAGCGGCTACCAGGAGATGGCTGTTTGATGGCCCCTGGGCAGTGAGCTTGGTGGGTCTCAGCTCAGACCTCAGAAAACAAAGAGCGCCATGAACAGCATTAACTGGTGGCTTCCTTGGAGTTTTGACCAAGGATAATGAACTGTCCTGGTCTTGCTGGAAGCAGTCCCTTCATGCAATGGGTGAGAGTCCACCAAGCAGATAGCTGCCTGTAAGGGTCCTGTCCCAGCAATGAGACCGCCAGGTTCAGGACTGTTGATCTGGCATGTGCCATCAGATCTAAATTCATATGGCATCCTGCTTTATGCTCCATGTTTCTTCCTGGGTGGACCAACCTGCTGTCCCTATGGTGAGGAGCTCATTCATTACCAACTACTGAGCTGACTGGTAGTTTCCCTTCACCCCAACCTCCTCCTCACTGGATTTTCTTTTCTGTTTGGTGGGTGAAGCAAACTCCACTGAGTTATCACGGGGCAGTTAAGTGGGTCAGCAGCCTGTTTTGCTTGCGGCAGTCATGAAAATGGACACAGATGAACGTAGGAACTTGGCAAGAAAACTCCAATTAAGACATTGATGTGCAGGCACGCATGGTCTGAGCAGAAATAGGCACAGAACGAGATCGGTGACGGCTTTCATGTGGCAAGGGCCCAATCGTGAACTTAGGAAACTTGACAGCATCCTCGATAGGGTACTGCTGTTCTCACCGCACATCCTCGCACCGCGCTCCTATGAGGCCAGGAAAGATGAGTCCACTTTTCATGTTTGTGGAAACCGAGGCAGAGAGGAACTAAGTGACTTTCCTATGGTCACAGAGAGAGTCTGTTGCAGAGCTGGGAAGAGCGAGCTGCACGCGTGCGCCCAAGTCTCACCTCTGTGAAGACCCACATTCATTTTCTCTTCATTAAGGACTGTCAAACTCTTTCCGCTGTACTGTTCCTGCAGGAGATTTCTGCCTTACTTTCATAAAGACAAGGCAGTGGGGAATGGCCAGTCTTATAAACCATCAGTTAAGCCTTGCTAACTGTAGCCACCCCTGAGGACTGCAACCTTCGTTGCCTCTTCTCCGAACACAGCCTTATACGACATTCCTGGCTCTTTCACAAGGCCAGCCCGTCACAAGCAGAACCGGAGATGCCTCCTCTAAGTGTTATGGGATATCTTCTGCTGCACGTGCATCGAACCACATTTCCACTCGGCGATGGATTTGACCATTTCTTAGCAGAAGAGATTCCCATTTGCTCGCGCAGTGACTGGTTTGAGGTAGGTCTGCTTGCCTCTGTAGGAGTCATGTTGAATCAGAAAACGGATGTTTTTCACCTGGTGATGCAGGTTCTCCGTGCGCTGGGGAGATGCTGGTCTTTCAAGAGCATGGAAAGATCGTTATTAATTGCTTACGGGGGGTGTCAGTTGCTCCTCTCAAGTGAAGGTTGAAATGCTAAAAAAGGCCCTTGCTTAAGTGCTCATGACAACAGCAACAATTATTGCTCTCGTTCAAACCTCCCTGGGGTTATCTGGCCCAGTTTTATTTAAATTCTTCTAACTTTCTAGGTCCTTGCCTCATGGGTGTTACCACTGGGGTAGATACACCACCGGTGTCCTTGGCTGATGACCTGTTGGCTTGGCCAACACTTGGGTGTCCACTCTGATCTGATTTCGTGTATCAGGAAACTAATCTGGTTGACCAGGAGGTGATGCCAATATACTCACCTCGTGGGTGCCTGGGTGTCCACTGGCTGATTTTGAAAGGCCCTTCCTTGCTGAGTCGTTACAGAGAAAGAAATTGGGTAATAAAACACTTGTCACACCTGAAGGGCCTCTCAGAGCGGGGCCTGTTATACGTGATTTGCAGGGGTCTACCCCACTCGAGGAGGCGGCCAGCAGCCGTCTTGGGCTCCCCTTTGTGCTGGCAGCCCTCCTCCCCTTTGCCCCCCAGGCAGTCTGCACGGCTGGGCCGCGATGCCTTGAGGACTGCTGCTGCTCCCTCTAGGAAGCCAGCACTTTATTTTTAGTAAGGTTTTTTTGTGGATTTTGCGGACAATGCTGGATTTTGCGATTTCCGTAAAATCTGCACAATCAGGATTTTGGTAGGTCCCTAGTGATTTGGTATACCTGGTAAAGGTGATGATGCACCACAAAACTGATCGGGAGGCAGAGTAAATATGCTATGTGATACAAAACACAGGTAAATCCATCAGCAGGCACTGTTCTGTCATGGAAAAGGGATTCATTTTTTGGAAGGCTGGACAGAATACTAATGGCTTGAATCTTAAAGGTGACCGAAAGGCCCAAGTGCAGCAGGGCTGGACCTGATGATCTGTAAGGTCCCTTCCAGCCCCTAACATCTAAGAAATCTATGAAAGGGGGAAAAAAGTAAAAAAAGGTGCTCATTGTGCTTTCTTTTGGAAGCTTAAAGAAACCCAGAAAGTCTTAATTTCTTTTTGTTTCCTTTTTAATGTTAGGACCCTGGAGGCCTCCATGGGGGACCAGAGAACTGGCTGGTGGACCCTCCAGGGACCAAGAGAACTGAACACAATTATGGAACAACAGGTCACAAAATTAAACTAGTAGGTAGTAAGTTGAAAGCCAACCAAAGGAAGTTTGTTTTTCACCCAGCGTGCAATGGAAGTGTGGAATGCATTGCCACCAGATGTGGCAGATGTTAGCCAGATTAAAAAAGGGATGGACATATTCATGGAGGAAAAGGGGCATCAGTAGCTATTGTGCATGGGAGTTAGGGATACAGCCTCTGAATCAGAATTTCCTAGACCGTAAATGCTGGAGGCTGCAAGTGGGAGAGGAACAGGGGGAAAAACTCTGATCATACTCAGTTCACTCCCCCTTTCAGCATCCACGCTCTGCCACTGTGTGACACTGGATGTTGGGTGAGATGGACCCATGGTCTGACCCAGTAAATGACAGTTCTTATGTTCTTGGACAATCTACAACTCAGCTGGTTTTGTTAACACAAATTTTACTATAAGACTTTGGAGAAAAACTCTTTGATAAGTATTCAGCAGGCCGTCCCTTCCACTTACAACCAGAATGCTCCTAATTTACATGTATTAGTCAGGAAAGTGTTTCAGAAAAAAAGCAAAACTAAGACTTGAGTTTTTTTTAATACTGGGTATTTGCTTAGGGAAAAAAAGTGGTGGGAAATTATTTTTAAGCGACAAATTAATTGCACCTTTCAGTCTTCCTTCATTCAGCACAGAATTGCAGTAGTTGACCCTAAAATGACGATGTAGGAATAATGTATTTACTCAAATACAAGACACATTTTCTCCCCCAATCAGCAGTGGGTGGGGTATGTCTTGGATTTGAGCACTGGGCTGGGGCAGGCAGAGGCTCAGAGCTGAGCCATTGCCTGCCCCAGGGTCAAGGTGGTTCTTGTGGAGGGGCAGGGGGGCATGGGGGAGACTTGTGTGTGTTGCTTAGGGGGAGCATGGGGGAGCTTGCTTTCTCCCCTGCTGCTTACCTTCAGCTCAGGCTCCAGCTCCGAACCAGCCAGGCTGGGGCCCAGAGCTGCTGCTGCTGTTTCTACCTGGCTGGGCGGGGTGAGGCTGGACTGGGACCACGGCCACTGACTGCCCCAGAGCCGGAGCAGAGCAGAGCAGCAGAAGGTAAGTGGCAGGGGGAGGGAGGGGTAGAGGGGCTAGGCATGGATGTGGGGGGGCAGATGGCTGGGTTGGGGGGCAGGCACAGGCATGGGGGATAAGTTTCATGGTTGGTCGGGTTGGAAGGGACCTGAACAGATCATCAAGTCCGACCCCCTGCCCCGGGCAGGAGTGAATACTGGGCTCATATGACCCCAGCTAGGTAAATATCAAGCCTCCTCTTAAAGACCCCCAAGCTAGGAGCCAGCACCACTTCCCTTGGAAGCTGGTTCCAGCTCCTAGCCGCCCTGACTGTGAAGTTGTGCCTCCTGATGTCTAGTCTCCCTCAACTTATGGTTATTCCTTGTTACTCCGGGAGGTGCTGGGGGGAACAGGGTGCCTCCCATTCCCTGCTGGTCCCCCCTGGTGAGTTTAAAGACAGCCACCAGGTCCCCTCTCAGTCTTCTCTTGTGGAGGCTGAACAGGTTCAGGTCCTTTAACCTCTCCTCATAGGGCCTGCCATGCTGCCCCCTGACCCATGTGAGTGGTCCTCTGGACCCTCTCCATGCTGTCCACATCCCTCCTGAAGTGCGGCGCCCAGAACTGGACGCAGTACTCCAACTGCGGCCTGACCAGTGTCGCACAGAGGGGGAGGATCACCTCCCTGGACCTGCTCGAGATGCATCTGTGGATGCATGACAAGGTCTGGCTGGCCTTCCTGACCGCGTCCCCACACTGTCGACCCATGTTCATTTTGGCATCAATAATGACTCCAAGATCTCTTTCTGCCTCTGTGCTGATGAGAGGGGAGTTCCCCAGCCTGTAGATGTGCTGCTGGTTCCTATTGCCCAAGTGCAGCACCGTGCGCTTGTCAGTATTGAATCCCATCCTATTCTCAGTCACCCACCCCTCTAACCTGTCCAGGTCTAGTTGTAGCCCGTCGCTCCCTTCTAGTGTGCCCACCTTGCCCCAAATCTTGGTGTCATCAGTGAATCTGAACAGGGTGCTTTTTACCCCCTTGTGCAAATCGCTAATAAAGATGTTGAACAGTGCGGGCCCGAGGACCGAGCCCTGGGGGACCCCACTGCCCACATCCCTCCAGGTCGAAAATGACCCGTCCACCACCACTCTCTGAGTACGACCCCTCAGCCAATTTGCAATCCATTTGACTGTGTAGGCATCAATGCCACGGTCCCCTAGTTTTTTAATGAGAATGCGGTGAGAGACAGTGTCAAAGGCCTTCCTGAAGTCCAGAAAGACTACATCCACTGCCACCCCTGCGTCTAAGGATTGTGTGACCTGGTCGTAGAAGGCCACCAGGTTGGTCTGACAGAACCTGCCCCTAATGAACCCATGCTGGTTGCCCCTGAGCATCCTTTCCCTGCTGGTCCTTCCCAGATGTGCGCCTGGATAATTTTCTCAAAGAGCTTCCCCAGGATCGAAGTAAGACTAATGGGCCTACGGTTGCTTGTGTCCTCCCTCCTCCCTTTTTTGAAAATTGGGACCACATTGGCCCTCTTCCAGTCATCTGGCACCTGGCCAGAGCACCGCGAGTGCTTGTAAAGCCATGCCAGGAGCCCTGCGATGACCCCTTCCAATTCCCTCAGCACCCTGGGGTGGAAAGCATCTGGACTTGCTGATTTGAACATGTCCAGTCCCTCCAGAAGTTCCCTAAGTCGGTCCTCCCTGACCCTAGGCCTGGCGGAGTCTCTCCTGAGCCCGTCCTGAATCCTGGTGGGGGAGATGTCCTGGTCCCTGCACAAAGAAACGGAGGCAAAGAATTTGTTTAAAAGGTCTGCCTTTTCCTCTGGTGCAACCACCAGATTGCCAAGCGTAGCCTGCAGGGGCCCCACGTTACCCGGTGCCTTCTTTATACTCCCAACGTATTTAAAAAAGGGCTTTTTGTTGTCTGCGATCCTGGATGCTAGCCCCAGTTCCGTCTCTGCCTTTGCCTTCCTAACAGCCCCCCTGCAGACCCAAGTGATGGAGGTATACTCCTCTTTGGTGATAGCTCCTTCCTTCCACTGTGTGTACACCGCCTTTTTGGCTTTTAGGCATTCATGA